TCTCCATTAAACTGATCTATTTTGGGATTTGAATTTGACTAGAAATTAATTTTAGAGAAAGAGAAGAAGAAGTGACTTACTGGAGGACTACATCTAATGATGATTGTCATTGTCACCTAATCTGTTAATTATTTTGTCGATGAATGGATTAGTTGTTTCATGTATAAAATGGTAAAAAATGCCAATCAGTGTTTCCTAAAGCCAAAGCTGACGTTCTCCAACAGCTTGTTTTGTTTCTACAGCCGAAAGATATTCAGTTTATTTTGATATAGGTGGAAAGAAACTGAAAAAGTATTTACATGTAAGAAGCAGGACTTCTCCAAAATATTTGGTGATTAACTGAACAGCTGACAATCAGTTGATTATCATTGCAGCTCTTCTCTATGAATGAGTTTATTTTAAGGTCTTATTGTTCTGACATTAAAAAATGTCAAAATGATGAAATAAATAACAGAACCAAACTTTATCAATATTTTAACTCACTAAACAGAAACCAAATTAAGTAATATTTTTAAAAACTATAAGTTAAATGATTTGATCTGTGTTGTTTATTTTGTTCTAATTTATTTAAAAAAATATTTTAAAAAGTAAACATTTCTTACCAACTTCAAACTCCAGCTCCACTGACTCAGATGAGTTTCCAGGTCGGTTACACCGCTGGTTCCACAAGTTTTCATGTTGCTTGATGATCACCTTAAGAGTTTTCATGTTATTTAGTGGTATGTTGTGGCTGTCACGCAGTTGATATTTTCCACTTGTTTTAGGATATGCACATATGAATTCAGACCATGTCTCTCCACATTCCGTCTCCTCTGTGACCTCACAGCCTGTACACAAGACAAAGACAAATATTCACATCAGTCAGTCACTGAAACATTCACAGAAGCTCATTCGGTCGTCTGAACCAACTTCTTATTGACAAAACTGAGCTGTCTGTGTCTTCATGTTGCCAAGATGAATCAGGTCTGCAGCAGCGGCCTAAAGGAGAGTTCTGAAATTGGAATCATTGTTGTTTATCAACAACCAGATGTTCAGCAAGTGATGGGTTTTAAATACTATTTGATTTATATGTTGCCTTTCTGTAGATGTACTGAATTCAGGTAAAGAAGGATTTTATTTTAAGACTTATTTGGATGAATGTAGAACAGCGTGGAAGTTAAAGCGGCGCCCTGTTTATGTAAATGCGAAAGTACGATGAAAATATTTTGACCCTGAGTTCAATAAATAATCATAAAAAATCCTAAAGTAAACAGAATGAATGTATTGTGTTTATAACTGTGCAGCTGTACTCACCGCTAACATTATTTCTGTCGTATTTGCTTTTATCTTATCTTATCTAACAGCCAGTCTGGGTGGCTGATAATTCTAATAATATTAAATATTATAATATAAAAGCACCCAGTGTTTT